ATAATCATACTTGTGAAAATGTAAATTGCTCTTGAGCTGCTATCAAACTTTGGTGCCAGCAAATGACTCTATATCTCACTGTGACTTGAGGTGTGGATGTTTTTTTTCTGACATCCCACACCAGATGGGGGAGCTTTGCAGATTGAAGTTATTCAAAGTATTAAATATGAGGTTGTCATGGCTTTAAACCTGTTTATGTAAATATTCATATTCCTTCACAATCCAAGCAAGTCTGTCTCCAAATAATTAATCCTGGAAATAAACACAAGACGGTTTCACAAACTAATGATTGTACAAATTTAGACACTTTAGCTGATTAAGGTGTGCAAAGTTTAGTTTAAGGCTTTTAAAGTTATGTAGAAAACCTTAAAAGCTTTGCTTGGCTTGCCTAAGGTCCTAGTCACACAAGTCGGTGTCTTTCATCCAAACTACAGGTGACTACACAAAAGAAGTTTTTGGTGCCGCATCTTCTTTGTGACCAGTTTTACCCAGGAATACACATTTTTTAACCCCGACTGGGGTTATTAGGGGGTTGCGAACTGGTCTCTAAAGCTGTGTGACTGAGACCGGGAGAGGAAAACAGAATGGACACAGACATACACAAAAGCCACATTTTGCTTCATAATGGACATGGAAAATCCTGCTACTGACATACAAAGTCTTGAATAATCAGGCCCCATCTTATCTTAATGACCTTGCAGTGAGAGCACTTCGCTCTCGCTCTGCAGGCCTACTTGTTGTTCCTAGAGTATTTAAAAGTAGAATTGGAGGCAGAGCCTTCAGTTTTCAGGCCCCTCTTCTATGCAACCAGCTTCCAATTTGCATTTGGGAGACAGACACTATCTGTACTGTTAAGATTAGTTTGCTAAAGCATATAGTTAGGGCTGGATCAGGTGACCCTGGATCCTCCCTTAGTTATGCTGCAATAGGTGTAGGCTGCCGGGGGATTCCCATGATGCACTGGGTGTTTCTCACTCACTATGTGTTAACAGACCTCTCTGCACTGAATCATACTTGTTATTAACCTCTGTCTCTCTTCCACAGCATGTCTTTTATCCTGTCTTCCTTCTCTCACCCCAACCGGTCACAGCAGATGGCCCCGCCCCTCCCTGAGCCTGGTTCTGCCAGAGGTTTCTTCCTGTTAAAAGGGAGTTTTTCCTTCCCACTGTCGCCAAAGTGCTTGCTCATAGGGGGTCATATGATTTTAGGGTCTAGCTTACATGATAAAGTAACCTAAGGGGACTGCTGTTGTGATTTGTCGCTGTATAAATAAAATTGAATTCAATTGGACTTTTCAGTACAACCCAGTATGAAGTTGGATTTTTGCCAAGGCTAATGCCTGAGCACATTTATAAATTCCAGTGGTTAAGCATCAGTAGCACTTTAAGTGACACTATATTGCTGAAATGTTAGCTTTTTATTGATAATCAGACCAAGTGGCTTGTGATTTTTCATGATGACAGTAGGCATATTTCCAGTGTAGCTAAGTTGCTCTTTATAATTCTAGTCTTGCAGTATGTGTGAAAGAGCGTTAAGCAATGAGCCAGGAAGCTGCTATACAGTTAGAGCAGGATAACCTTTTCTTGCTACGCCACCTGATAGCGGGCATTTTCTGTTTCAGTATTTTCAGCATTGTGGTGATGTACAGTTATAACCAGGGACACACTGAAAGAGTATTATCTTCCACAACAAGCAGGTAATGAGTGTAACCTTTGTTATTCTGGTTTTCATGTTCTGCACTGTTATTTTTGGGCTTCAATATGTTTGGATAGATTCTGAAAAAGCAATCAAGAATAAAATAGTTTTTTTGTATAGTTACATTTTCATTGAACCTCCATCACTGACAAATGGAGGAGCTACACACTCTTTGTTGCAGTCTGTCATATAATTAGAATATAAACAGAGGTGCTACATCAAGGCCCAATATAAGATAAATAAGAATTTTCTGGATTGGAAATCATGCAAAGCTGCTCTACTGGAGTCCTAGAATATAATTATGGATCTTAAATGGAGCATAATAGGTCGTCTTTAAAGCCTGCTTGGTCCCTCTCCCTGTGGCCATTCCTAGAGAGCAGAAAAGATGATGAGCTTTGGCTGTGGTAGCAGCTCACAGGCTGACGTGTGTCCTTCACCAAGTAGGTGACACGGTGCAGCGGCCTCTAACTGCATTAAAAAAAAGAAGCCTTATTCCATTTCTCTCCTCCCCAGAGCACTGACAAATCTGAGCTCTTGGTGGAAAGCTCACCTTGGGTTTGTGTGTATTTCTTTGTGCACGTTTGTGTGGTTGCACACATCTGAAATGTCCCCTAACTAAATTTTCTCGTGCCCTGAAAATGACTGTATTAATACTTGAGAGGCGTCCGCTTGTACCACTGTGACGAATGCATGTTAAACAGCACTCGGTGCAATTTAAAGCGGCTTCACATTAAAACTGCACCGAGGCCTTGTAAACCTGCAGAGTGGGTTACTATAATTGACTCCTGCAAACAGCAGAATTGAAATTAGCTGCATAATTGCAGAAACGAGCTGCTTTCCAGCACTGAGCTCTGATTTACAGCTGAAACCATGAAAAACCCTGCTACTGAGACAGTAGCTGTCATGGCTCACAATGTCCTGGTGCTTGGCTGGAAAAACAAATCCCTCCCTCAGGTGTGTGTAGACATGCTGGAATGTATTCACCTGCTGTGTTTGTTATGTACAGTTGGTGGGTGGATGTAGAGGAGAGCACAGTGAAGATGGCTCTACATGTATGTGCTTTTGTGTTTGTTGAATTAATAATACCAGCCAGACCTCATGATTCGTAGACTGCACCAACCTGACAAGTGTTAGTGAAAGAGCGTTTGACGGGGAGAGAATGGCGTTCCCGACTCTGTGGATTATTGGAAAACAAGCTTGCGGTCTGAGACATGTAATACCACCCATAATTTTTTTGCATAAGATTCAGCAACAGGAAGATTGAAAGATATAAGCTTTTTTGTCTCCTTATGTGGTTTTGTAGGTCCTCTGCAACTGTTTGTTTTATTTTCTGCAGAGGTCAAGTCACTGAGCTTCCCTTCAGACACATGAAATATCAACAGATTTCCCAAATAGCTGTTATGTTTGGTTATGAGTAGATGTGTAACTCCATGGGGTTAGGGGTCAATTATCATAACAATTTTGAAAGCTATTTGCCCGTCTCATCTTTACTTTGAAAATTAAAACGTTATCTGGTTCCATCAATGTCGATTTTGGTAAATACATCAACCAATAATGTTAGCCCACAGATAAATAATTTGGACTCTAATTTTCTGAGATCTTGTGGAGATTTGAACCACCGAGTTGAAAAATCTGTTATTGGTTTTCAATAAAGTATTATGTCAACAAACCCTAGAAAGAAGCTACAATACGAAGTTTAAAAAAAACTAAGATATATATTTCACATTTAAATTATTTCAACTACAGTCTCAGATCGGAGGTACCCCGGCTGGAAATGTATCCTTGCATTTTCATATCTATTGATTTGTGTCAATGTACACAAATTGAGTGAATTACTTTTTAGGTCTACAATGAGAAAAAGTCCAAAAGAGACTAAGGTTGGGCGACTGGATGAATATATCGACCATCGATGATAGGCTGAGCCTGTCACCGACTGTTTTTACAAGAGCAATTTATTTATTTGCCCATGAGCACATTTGCTTATAATGTTGGTTGAAGCTAAGAGAAGCAGTCAACTGAAAAAATAATAGCGCTGTTTTAACAGCACCCTCTGTGCGATTCATTTACTCAAACTCATAACAGAAAGAGAGAAAAAAACAAAAGCATTTTATTTAAATTAAAAAAAAACACTGGTGGGGAGGGAAACAAAGAAGCTGGCTTCGTTTTTCCACTATAACCGTGTTTATACGGCATTCAAGTGTCTGTCTTACTCACTCGACCAAAAGACAAATATAAAATGAAACAAAAATAAGTTAACATTAAAATGTATCTTCCAGTGAACATAAAAAAAATCCAAACTTCGACGTAATGAATAATCCAAAAAGTGGCTATATTAATACTGAAACAAACAAGATAAGATAACCTTTATTAGTCCCACATGTGGGAAATTTATTTTGTCACAGCAGGAAGTGGACAGTGCAAAAGTTATGAAGCAAAAATTAGAATATAATAAGAATAAATACAGTACACAACTGTACAGAATAGAATAAAATAAAATACTATATACAGTAGAATAAAATAGAATAAAATATACAATAGGATAAAAATAGAATACAAATTCTATGTACAACTGAATAGAAATACAACGAATACAACGAACGAAACAAGAAAATAAAGCAAAATATTCCCTCTGTTACGTCCCCACTAAAAGTCTAGGCGATGAGGGTGGGGGACAGTAACAGTTAGATCCAGGTGGAATGAAAAGAACGCCAGGCAGAGGTATTTAACATAAAATAGATCTTTATTGTAGGCAAACACCTCAATAATCATAAATGGCAACAACAAAAGGAGACAGCACCGCTGCTTTAATAAGGAATCAGGGAGGTCAACCCAAAGTGGTAATGACCACTCAAAGAAAGCAACAATAAGGTTTCAACAGAAAGAGACAGCAACGCTGCTAACAAACAATATCCAGGCAGGCCACACAAACTAATGAAGGCCGCCGTCACTCATGGGCAATCACTGCTCAGTTAAGCACTACTCACACACCAGAGCCACACACCAGAAGGCTGGTCACACGCAACAGGCTGTTCCACACCTAAGTCAGTAGCACACTCTGACCAGCACAGAGGAAAACCACCAGAAACCACTCCTTCCTCCTCCACACTGCTCTTCTCCAGCTTATATCACCCCTGAGGGTAATTGGTTGTAACGAGAGCAGATGAGCAGCAGGTGTGACCTAAAGGAGAAGGCAGGGGCAGAGAGAGACAAGGGGAGGGGCCAGAACGAAGGAGGAGGAGAGGGAGAAGACAACACCACGCCCACACACTCCCACAGCCTCCCAGGATGTAACACCTTTCAAATAAAAATGTCCGTGCATGATTACATTGTTCTGCTAATATATGGCCTATCGTCATTTATTGGACTGACGAATGTCGGTTAGAAAAGTGTTACATATGGCCCAACCTTAAAAAGGACTGCTCATGTTTAAGTTGTGTTCTCACTGATTTGTTTAGTAAAATTTTATTCAACTAAACTACCTGGTTACAAAAAATAGATTTGTATTAAAATTCAATAGTTGCTACTTTTGTTGTTCATGGTTGTCAGCCGATTCCAAACTGCATACACACTGTTAATGCAGGTTTGTATACTTGAAGAAACAGATTACATGATAGGTGACCGTTTCACCTTTGGCATTGGGAACTTGTCCTCAGCACATGCTCCATAACACCACATAAACATTTAATAATACAACGATACTCTCGCCTCTTTTGAAACCAATTACCTCTAAGCCTAAGATCTTAATGCACTGAACTGAAACATCTCTGGAAGCAGTACCCACGGAGGTCGGTATTTACCATGCAATGCATAATTCAGACACACATATCTGCCAGTCAACTTAAAGTCATGTAATTTTTATGAGCAGGAACTCAACCGAATTCTGTTACATACACCGGAGACACGAGCTGGCTCTGGAAATATCCCTGGTAGGGTGAAAGGTCAGTCACTATAGTATTGTGTGGAGGTGGTTTTAAAGGTTAGGGGGTTTCTTGACTTTGAGCTGGAGATAAAGTGTTAAGAGAGAAGCAATGCGTCAAACAGCAGTTAGACTGCTGAAGACTGGCACGTGATCTGTGCCCTGTGCATGACTTGGTTTGTGTAGCTTGCTCACATTCGCTGCTTTACCTGCTCTATCATGTTTTACATCATACCAGGCCTGCAGTGCTGCATCTAAATCAAGTGAAGGGAATTGGATTATTGCCTAAAATGTGATCTTTTATCTTTTTTTACCTTTTTCTTGTATCTATCATCTCCTTAATATCCAGTAGCTCATTTTATGTCCATTTTTTTATTATTATATATTTCAGACAGGAAAAATAATTTTATTCCAATTGTCCCTTATCAGCTCTCCATTAGGATCTTCACACTGAGTAAAATATTCCAGTCTTGTCTCAGCATACCTTAGGCACCATTTAATTCTCATTTCTCAGTGTAACATGAAATTAAAAAATGTGTTTTAGTTTAAACCCTGCTCATCCCCGCCTTTGAAGCTCGGAGAGTATCGAGGGGTTGATGCATGTGCGTACAAAATAGAAGGTGAAACTGTAATTCAGTTTATTTTTCTGCATTTTGTGTTATTGTTCTTTTATTATTGTGGAAAAACTGTGCAGTTTTGCCTGTTATAGCATCTAAAAATGATTCAAATGAAGGGAACCTCACTAAAGCTGGGTATTACAGCTCAATACTTTTGTTTGTACCACTTCAAAATGTATCTGTATATTGCACTAGGATCAACAAATTCTTGGCCCTGTGAGAGATTTACAATGGATTTGGTACTGAAGCAATTGCCTTTGCTTTGTCTCTGTATATTAAGAGACCACGGGAGTATTATTCAGCACTTTGTTCTCAACTGTTGGTGTGAAATGTGCGCGACTGAATTAGGCTGACGGGATGTACTCTGTGCTGTAGCATCCGCTCAGAAGACAATCTGTGACTAGAAATGTTCATCCTTGGTCGCTTGTATCCGAGGATGCTTGTTAAAACAATAACAACAGATCATAAAGGCGTTAAAAACGAATAATACGTTTTAGAAGCGCTGTTTGTCTGCAGGCATTTTATACCTGTAGGTCTGGGCTGTTGCTTCAAAGTAGATCCCTGTGTGAACTCAACACACAGGCTGGCTCTGCTTTACACAGCCTTGTGGATTGTACATATTGATTGGCTTCCACTTTCAGATCAAAGATGCAAAGAAGCGCAGAGGCCACATTAGGGATTACGGTATTTCTTTGCGAGCAAACATGAGTGATTTAGAGAGGCATAAAACAGACACATACTAATATCCCCTTCTCAATCTGCAAGGATTAATGACCAGAAGCTGTTGGCATGAGTTCAGCAATTAAATTGGATAGTGAACCCATCTTTTTAAGGATTATCTCATTTGGAGCTGCTGCTGTTCACATTCACATCCTCTCTTACCGCAGTACATCAGATAAGACTACTAATAGCAGAGTAAATCGACTCTTTCTCTCAAACAACATCATCACTTTCTGACAGCCTCGGAAAGAGAACTAAATATCATCTTAACATGATGAAACTCATGCTGCAACTTCCCAGCACTGACACGTAATCTGTGTTTCATGTGGGTAACGTAAGAGAGCAGGTGATACTTGAGGATTCCAGTAGCTGCTGGCACAGATAAGGTTTGGTTAAGGTCTGCAGGTCTGTGTAAGAGGATGGATTGCAACATGTCTCGCCATTTACCCAGGGAAAAGGGTTTCCTCTCCACCCTGTGGTTTATTAATAGCGAGCTGGTGGATGTCGGGCAGGCGACGCAGTGTTAGCGGTATTGACACGGTTAGTGTTTCACCTGTCACTGCTGCTGATAAGCTGTCATCAGAGCCAGCCTAATAGATTTTAGATGAGACTTTGGCCCACAGTAAGTTGATGAATGCATCATTTATTGCACTTTTTGTGACCTTGGCACAGCCAAGGCTGTCTGTCTAAGGATATTAAACTGTATTACTCAGCTGATATTATGAACTTCTTCAAATCATATAAAAGAGGTTAAAAAAAATGACCATGATGGGCAAAACATTCAAAGTGGTCAAGCCTATGGAGCAATTTCCACTTGTAATGTCATTTCTTTTTCAATAGTTAGTTAATGTTTTGCCATGTGTAGAAATTTTGGCGCACTATTTGATGTAGCTTCACCCATCCAGTGACCAAAACCTTACTGGAATAATTGCCAACTAAATTATTTTTAATAGTAATTTGAAGTTCATAAACACTGAAACATACTTTTATTCATCCAATCCATTCATTGATTCGTTGTATTCATTACTGATGGTGGTGTAATTCTACAAATCCACAGTTTGTTTTAAACCAGTGTTTTTGCTAGATCACAATTGGATCTTAAAACTTTGTAGCTTTCACCAAACTAGCATGCTTTAATCAGGCAGGTCCAGGTGTCTAACTAGCATGGTCATCATTAGCACATGGCTAAATATCATTTTATTTAAGCTAGATCTTTGCATATATTTGTACACGTGGTGTTTACACGAGCACAAATAGTGATGCCTGCAAAAATTGTTCACAGATCCTGACCGAAAGAGGATTTTTCAGACCAATACAAATACCGATATTTGATGATTTAAAAATCTAAAATATCAGCCGATATTTTTTCTTTCAGGCGCACAAAACAGATTTACCCTAAAATGTATTATTTATGACTTCTTACAATGACAATGCAGTTTTAAAATAGTCTTGTTTTTCTTGTTATTGTTTGTTGCATTCAAAACGCAACAGATTTTTATAACAATAATGTTATAGAGTGCCCCCTGGTGGACGTACTATGCAACATCAACAATCATAGCGTCGATAAAAGATGTTTGTACGTTCTTTTTTTCTACATTTTCATTTATGAACCATTATAAATGCCAATATCAATTTATGAGGAAATAGTTCATATCATCGCCGCCAATATATCTGTCAGACTCTATTTGCTAATATACAATATGTTCCATCAGCTGACTATAGTAATGAAGTAGCAGCCATCAACTTCCTTCCCTGACTTCCATGCACAAAGCTGCTGCACCTTATATAACCTTTACAACATCTCTTCCGGGAAACAAACGCTCTTTGAATATGTCTGTGATTGCTCAACAGCAGCTCATTGTAATGAGACGGTGAACTGTGGATTTGGTCTTTGTGGTTTCAGAACCATTTTGGCTCTATTAGCAGGTCAGTTTACTGACCTAATAAATCTACCAGTTTGTTATGAGTGTCATCTTATAACTGTGACCTCAAAGGGGTACTCATACAATTTGTTTATCCAACAGTGGAACTCACAAAAGATCCGTGGAGGATATTATACCATTTTGTCATTAATCCCTTTCAACCTACGTGTTACAGACCATAATTTGTCTTTAATTAAAAGTTTTCCACTGGTTTTATGTCTCCATAATGCCAAAATACAAATTTCAAATGTGCACCAACTACTGATACCCCTGGGATAAGTCCCCACCCTCTGAGCTGAACGGTATATATGACTAAAACAGAGTGATCTTATTAAAGAGCACATATTTAATATGTCAGTATAATTTCTCACGCAGTAAACTAAACTGCTCCCTTGCCATCTCAAGTAGAACACAACTGGGTAAGATACGCGTAGAATGATAATGTACAGTATCCGGTATTGCTAAAATGAACTGGAGTGAGGAGGAATGTTTATTGCTCTTGGGGTTTATGATCGCACCGATTCAAAGGAGCATTAAATTATGTTTTCATGTTGCTTGTGGATTGCTTATTTTGTGATATTCGTACCACCACAATAGCTTGCAATCATGCCACTGCATGTGCCTCGCAAGGTTTTATTGGGTTCATCCTCACATCTCAGCACGAGTTTCATCGTTTTTTTTCCCTTTTTTATTTGGAGATGTGAGAAGCTATGATTCACGGCGGACAGTTCTCATTACGCAGCTGCAGTGCAATATCCACTGTGTTAAGAAGCGAGGAAAGTGGTTTGGTTAAGGGGAGGAAAAACAATAATTTGGTCTTCCTGCATCAGTGCGGATTTGTTATTTGTTGCTGCTCAGTGAGATTTTAGATTTTGGCTTGACCCGACACATTTCTCAACTGGCTGAGCAGAAAAGCACCACTTTAGCAGCTCTGTTGTAATTTTTCCATGCCGCTTTGGACACTTTCCGATGTCGCGCACGCCTCAGTGGGCACCGATCTGTAAGAGTGGGCTCGGTAGACAGCAGCTTCGTGTCGGGGAGGGTTGTAATAAAAGAATGTGACACAGGCGCGGCCTACGGGGTGCACGGTGGCAGCAGGTGGGGTGGCTAATGACAGATCCACTCGAGCGGGTGCCATTGAGCCTCACGTCCAACTGTAACTGCTCGGCTGCCGTTGAAAGCCTCATATAACCACTGGCGCAGGGTGTGGGTTTGAAATCTGTGTGGCGTCTGGGCCAGTTATTTGTTTTCAACAGTTTCTCAGTAATGCTGCCTGGTTGTTCTTCATATGGCAGCAGCACAGTTTGATTAAAATTATGGCCTGCTGCTCGGTTTTTATTATGGCTTCGGGAAAGTTCTGTACTTGGATGCGTCATTAAAGGTAGTGCTGAGTCATACACCTCTCCTCTGTTTACAGCTGTGGAAAAAAGGGGGAAGAAAAAAGTTCAGAAATACATTAAGCTCGCCAATTCTTCCTCTGTCTCTTCCACATCTCCCCAAATGACTGTGCTACCTCATTGAACACGAGATATTTTGTTAGCTAAGATAGAAGCAAACAAATAGCGAACCCACTGGGGTTCACTAGACATTAGAGTGGCTATATTGCCGCACTTTGCCCTGTTGTGGAAATTGTTTTTTTTTGTTTTTCTGCCACAATTTGAAGGGAAGTAAGCTTTTTCTCCTGGACCATATTTGCCTGTGATTGATGGCAGGTGGATGCGGCGCACCCCACGCAGTCCAGTTCCCCACTGATACAGACCATCTGGGCAGGTAGTGCAGCCCAGTGTCATTGCAGCCACACGTTATGGTTTAGACCAGTCCCAGGATGTTAGGAGAATCACTTTACAGATGGGGGCGAAGAAGAGAGAAAACACTTTGTTTGCTGTGCAGGAAAAAGAAGGAGCTGAGTGTGCATATTCTGATTCTGGCATTTTTATTGTTGCATCATTATGATTTGTGTGCAAGGGAAGTCATTTCTCTTATATGACTGCAAAGTAAAGCCTGCATGAGCAAACTCTGCTACATAATCTGCTGCTGCTGTGCTTTGAAAGTAAGCCCCATGACAAACCCTGCAGCCACTACGTCTCTTATGTCCTCTAAAGACCATTCTTAACTGATCTCCAATGACAACCAGCAGGCAGATTCTCCCTAAATCAGGATGTTGGGTATACCTGCTGCCTAAATATTGTTTTGGTCAGTGGTGCACTGGGCTCAGTTTCTGCTTTTCTGCATCCAATAATGCATAAAGCATAAAGCAGTCATTTTTTCTGCCATTTTACCAATATACTGTAGCGACACTGCATTCCCTGCATTGCGACTTAATGGGATTCTTTCTTCTTATCTTGAGCTAAATGTACTCCTGATTAAGATTTTTTTGTCTTATTGTAATGACTTCCGACTAAAAAGGCTTAATGTACCATTTTCCCGTCCTCCTTCAATTTCATTTCCTCTTGAAATTGTGCTTATTTGCTTGCAGTTCTTAGAGAGTTTCAGAAAAATGTACTGACTCCTGCTTCGAGTTTTCCATCACGACCGAAACTCTCAGCAGCCTTCAAACAGGCGGGATCGTCGCTGCCTGGTGTGACAAGTTCTTTTTTTTTCTTTCAAATATATATTGAAAGAAGATTTATAGTTTGTTTTAGAATAATTTCTTGACACCTTGCAGTGTACTTTTGGCAGGCTGTGGGTTGCGTCACGGAAAAGAAGAGAAAAAAAACGCACGTCTGCTCTCTGTTATTTACATTGCTCTTTTTGTCAAGAGACGCTAATCTTTGTTATAAGATCTGTGTCATGTGTGGTTGTTTAAAGGTAAGTGCTTTTCATCTAAATAATGTTTAGATAGAAGAAGTGGGAGCACGGCGTGCTTGCTTTTAGCAAGATAATGTGACATTATTGTAAAGATCACGGTAAAATATTTCCCTTCCATGTATGTATTTGGACTGTGTGGTGCTCTTAGTTTTCAAGATCAATTGCGCCCTCTAGTGTCTACGTTCATGCATGCAACTGATGGTGGCACAAAAAGAAAAGCCTCACTGTATCCTAGAGGTCATGGCTGTGTTTGTTTCATAGAAGATGCTCTTTCACTTTGATTTTTGAAAGTTTCTAATATATATAAATATATAGAATTATAGAATTCATCAAACAAGCTGATTATACTTCTAAGTCCACTTTTTTTTTCTCCCCTATTTCTGTTTTTTTAAATGTTTTTCTAATTTAATGATATACGGCCAACACTAATGGTATGCCAGCAGTTAATTTTATGACTCTCTCTCTTTATGTATGTATAACAAGGACTGATGGAGGACTAGAACTCATAGTACTGCAACTTATGTCCTAATCAAGGGGAAAAGGCTTGAAAATATCTTACTGTGAGATGTGATGAACGATGCTTATCGAGTTTGTCCTGTTTCTGGCACTGATAACATTTTTAAAAAGTGAGCAGTGTATAGTAAATGTTGGCTTTGTTGAACTTGCACAGTTTTGCTGCCACTTAGTGGACGATGTGAAAAGTGAGCCATAGCAAAAGTAATACATATTGCATAGCATTTGGATGGCTGTGGCTCAGGAGGTAAAAGCAGCCACAGCTGCTGAATTAAACTAGTTTAAAGCTGTATGAGATCCAGTGTGTAGGTTTTTTATTAACACAGTGAAAAGAACATTTTTTAAAAATAGTTTAGTTTTAATTAAACACAATGTAAAAGTGATGAGTCTCTTACTTTCTCACATTCATTCCTTAAGCGATAGAAAAGCCTAGCACAAATTAAACAATGATAAATAAGTATAGTTTTGTTCTCTGGTTTTCTCATCAGTATTACATCATGGCCAGAAATAAAACTACACCTGCATACATTATTTATTCCAATAATGTCCAAACTCGAGTAAAGTTAGAGGAGCTGATCCAGCCATCAGTCTAAACCGATGGTGGACCAAGTGAATAATTGACATTGTGTCCTTAATATTAACTTCATTATTATGATTGTTGACAAATTATTCTGTGCAAATTGCACTTGGTCTAAAAACTCCAGTGGCTTAGATACGGCTGCTTAAACATTGACAGAGCACGAATAAGTCTCTCATAAAATCAGCAAAGACCCACTGTAAATGTTCTGTATTATCAGCACACCAGCAAATATTGCCTAATGTTTATCCCCAGTACATGTTGTGTTTACAAGAAATATGCAGCTAATTAGATCTGAGATGTGGTGGAAACATCGAGTAATTGTGTAATTCTGTTGATGCATGTTGCAGATTTCAAACAGTTGCATGTTTTTAGCTTGAAGAAAAGAAAACATAGCACTCACTCTTGGTAATAAAATACAACATACAAAATGTCCATGAAGACATTTCCAACCAGCACGTTCTCACTCCCAAAGCGTAACATTTTACGCTAGGTACGCTTTCAGCCATCCAACACGTCCCTATATTACAAGTTCCAAAAAATGAAGACACGTGAGAACCGTTTGGAAATAATCTACACGTGTGCGTTTATTTTACTTAGATTGCTTTGGAAAACACTATCTAACGTGATTAACGGGGTGGTTAAGGTTAGGGATAAGGCTATGGTTAGTGCTGGAATACACGGTTGGAACCTGTGTTACCGCTGGAGCGTCATTCTATTCGATTTCATCCACAATCCGGCGCGTATCATAGGAACGCGGAAGGTCACCTTTTGCGTTGCCATGGAATGCCTCGAGACGTGACACATTGTCAGTATATTACGGGTCGGGAGTGAGAAGCTGTTCCAACACATTCATCAGTACTTAAAATTAACCGATAAAACTGCAGTAGTCAAAGTGCTGCTGTCTTTCTTTGAGTACATCTCGTTTAAATGCATTGTATGGGAACCTTCAATGGATAAAGCAAGAACGAACTCCATGAAGTGTGAGCTCCACAGTTCAATGAGTTCAGTAAGCAGAGAATTCACTTAATATATTGTACGTGTTTATGACCCTTTTTCCAAGTACAACACGTTCCAAAGCTGTACATGTTTAAGCTTACTACATTTACCATAAAAGACTTGCGACTGGCCCCTCCCCCTACTTTAAGTGTGTACTGGTAGAGGTAGATGGCGTAGTTCTGCTGGTGGTTTCTTCCTGTAAAAGGGTGTTTTTCCTTCCCATTGTTGTCAAGGGCTTCATTAAAGTCGGCCGTTAGATTGGTAAGGTTTGTCTGTGTTATTGTGGCGCTTCTCTACCTTACAATGTAAAGCCTTAAGATGACTGCTGTTGTGATTTGGCACTATATAAATAAAATTTTAAAAAAATAATGGAACTGATTTAAACTGACTTAGTAGAGTGATATCATTTGAATGAATCATGAGCATTATTAGACTTTGGAGTTTTTTAAACTAGATCAAATGATCCTAAATCAAACGTGCTCTACCCTTTCACCGCTGCTTTCAGACACTTTCATTCACAGCGCATTGCACCATTTTTACCAGTTACCTAATCTGTACAAAAAGGCCAAAATAAACCATCATAACCTTTTTTAAAAATGTTTGGAGCTGAGTTTCAGTCAGGTTCCCTCTGGTATTTCATTTATTCTGTGCACGCTGTGTTGATGGGTTGCACGCACTTCGTGTTTTGGTCCACCTGCAGCCACCTCTTCAGACCTCAACCTGTCTGATTCATCGCTCTCATCTCGCTTCAGTTACTGTTCGCAAGCTTCCTGCAGCTATGGCTCAAGTGCAATTTGCATTTGCCTTTTCCCACCCTTAGTTCAGAAGACAGTGAGGCTATGGCTCGCCAGCCTGTGCTGAGTCACAAACACCTACAGCCTTCCAGGATTTCTTTTAACGAAGCGCTCTATATGCACAGTTTGATCAACAGGAAACAACGGGAGGAAGGAAGCAGGGAAGAAGGAAAGAAAAGCAACAGGAGAACCATATCAAACGTGTGTGCGTGTAGGCAGCAGAGCACCTGCCTGCTTTAGATGGTGAAGTGTTGATTTCTTGAAGTTACAGGGGGATTGCGTGCTGTTTTGAACAGTAGTCCTTGGGTTTGACCAGGCCTCGTTGTTACCAGAGAGCTCTGTAAACTTCAAATTCCAACTTCGTTCCAGTTACGAAGCACTTATGCTGCTATTGCACTTTCTCTCTCCAAACCCATGTAGCTAATCAGATTGTTTTTAGATTGTTTTCCTCAAGTGGTGTGGAATATGCCTCAGCATATGCGGGGATGATTCACCCCAGAGACATTTGATTATTTCATCCTATTCTCTGGAGTGTCCAATTTAATGAAAAGTCATTACTGCTCCAACATAATTAGGATACCCTTTGAAGAGCCATGCTCAGCTGGTTTGGACCAATCTTCAAACTGGGTTTGAAGATAGAGTTCATATTGGGTGTCTATACTTTACTATAATGTAATTTTACTTGGTTAACTAGCTTTCATTCACACACATTATACATGCATATATTCCAGCATTTCAAATTATGAGGTCAGTGAATGCACAAATAATCTTTATGAGCCGAACGCTCGTGTTCTCTACTAATCAGGCTCTTTAAACGCTCGGTTTATGACTGCTACTCTTGGATCTGTATGATGAGGGGATATACTGTTTATGGCTGTCTCAGGAACAGAAGCCCCGCCCATCTGCTGTTCAAATATGCTGTTTGCAAGGAGCAACCAGATAAATAACTGTTATTGTCAACTGAGAATCATACAAAACCACATTAGTAGAGTTCAAGGATAAAAACACGAAGGTGGAAATAAGCATAATGTTTCCACTTTAACTGTCAAACACTGCAGTGGTAAGCATCCAGTGGGTGCTGTGGTTGTCTGAAAATGGTCATATTAATGAAGTTAAATGAAGGCAATAAGTTATGCTGAGCCTGTTTAAAATTGCTGTTCCCTGACCCAAGTGGAGGAAAATATAGCATGACAAATAGCATAAATGCTTGTGCTGAGTATGAAATAGGGAGGTGGTTGGTAATCTAATGCTGCAGTAAATGCTGGTCAGATTCCTTCAGGAGAACATTTTCTAAAAAAATGGACTTTGCGTTGGTGATTTAAAAGTCCTTGAACCTCAGAATAGCTACAGACACTCATTTGTCTGTTTCTTTTTGTGTAGATTACATAAATACTTGGTTTTGAGAGTGCGTTTGCTAAAGGTGGAAGTTAAACTGCTCTTTAACTTCTGTCTGAAAGAGGCCTCTGAGCAACAAAGAACACACAGCAGGCAGGAAGCAGGTTAATGGAGTGGGTGCAAATTGGTACTTGATTGCTGTGGTTGGCTGTTCTTTCTTTTTTTTTCCTGAATTGGACTGCTGTCACACAGTTCATGAAATGAATTGCGTGTGGGTGGCATAGGGAGCGGAAGTATTTTTCATTCTATTTTCCTCTTTTGATGTGTCACATCAGGCAAAGCATCTCTGCTGTATTTTTTTTCACATGTTCCAAGCAAAGGATGAGAATAAAAGAGATGTGGGCCTCAGCGTTTTTCTGACCTGTTGACCGTCTCCGTAATCCTGAAGATCTGCCACGAAGTCAGCCTGACTCTGCCACGTAAGCGGGTGCAGGATCAGTGCTGAAGAGGCAATTACTTTATTTTTCAGGGTGGATAAAGGCATGGAAGTAGGAGACTTTATTCAGTGTTATGAGTACTGAATCAGTATTGCATCAGAAACCATTCTTATATACGTACCATGCTGTTATCTCTCATAAAAGAGAGTTTTCTGCTATACCTCGGTTGTAGTAGTTGGGCTACGTTACATTAAAACTGCTCTGTCATTAATCTATAAAATGGGTGTCAGCATTTGCAACGAGAAGACTTTAAATTATGCACAAGCAACGTTGCACATAATTTAAATATTTACACCAGCCACCAGCCTGAGAGATCAGCTCTAACTTACTGCCGTGGACACAGCGTGGTTTTCTCCTCCCATTCCCAGCAGGAGATGTACTAGTTAAAAGGCAGCTAGCGAGGAAAAATGGCTATCTACAGTATGAGCTCTCTCGCCTCCCTCCAGCTTTACCCTCCCCGTGTGAGGAAAGGTCTGTTGAAAAGAGCGGCGGCAAACACTCTCCACAGCATGCTTCTGCCTTTCTCTCATAGCGCTCAATTAATCTAGGTGCTCAAGTGGTACAAAGTAGCTTTTGCAGTGCAGAGATCAGCCAGCAAGCTCTCACTTCATAGTGGGAACACTAGAGGAGGGAGGGGGTCTGCAGAGCGTGCGCGTCAAAATTCAAAACTCAACAGAGGCACGCATGTTTTACTCCCACTCTGCTCTACGTACAGCCCACCTAACACGGTGAATATAAAGGAGAAGTTTGGACCGGAGACCAGATTTTACTTTATTTTCTCCTAATGTGAGGATCCCAGCATATCACTGGATTTTTTTCCCCTCCGTTTTCACTCTCAAGCCGACCCAGTTGTGGGAGGGAAAGTGTGCGAAATCTAGCAGGACTTCTAGATCACTAAGCGAGAAAGTCTAGAGGGCATCATGGGAGCTTTAATGGTCATCTTCTCTCTTCAGCCAAAACAAAGACGCAAGACAGGTACGCAAGACTGAAGATCTGTAAATAACGAAACTAATTGCCCAACCAGTAAAGTAATGATTACTCTTTCACTGTATGATGTGTTTCATACAGATGTGTTTGTGCATATGTGTGTGTTTGTTGTGAAAGTTTCCTGTTAATCTTGTGTTTTCCTTTTAATCTCAAATGAATTCATGGTGCCACACCAGCAGTCCATGAAATTGACTCGAAATTCGCCGCATTTCAGTAAACGTTTGAGGCTGAACTCCACAAACTTGCTCGAGTTTTTCATTTGCTTTTCACCCTGTATTGATTTTACCGTGACAGCACACAGACACACCCACACACACACACGCACAGCATGCCACATGCGACTCCCTGCCAACGCAGTCGCACAAGCTTATGTTACAACGTCGTATCCCTCCAATAATGTGCTGATCAGCGTCACCGTCACAGCTTGTCACTGTAACAAAACAAAAGGAAGTCCAGTCTTTATTAAAGAACAATGAAATATTCAGTGGGTGGCCAGTGGACAATAACTGACAGAGGTTATATTTAGTGGTGTAGTGGGAGAGAGACAGAATGGATGACATGTAAAGTATAGAAAGTCATATTTCACTTGGGTATTGTTGGAGGGCTTGAAAGCAAAATGAATGAGGGGCTCTATGTAACTCTCTCAAGCAATAGATCACAGAGTGTGCTCTGTAAGCACATTTTATAGAGACCTAGAAAGGAGAACATGGGATCCAGATACACACAATCTTGCAGGAGATTTCTTGCATATATTGTGCCATATGCTTGCTGTACATGTATACAGTGTTTATAGCTTTTGGAAATTAACACAGAGCTGAGATTTTTCAAAATAGACTGCTGTGCCTGTCGATGATGGTTGTTAGTAGACTGTGATGATAAACGTAGAATACAAAATTATTATGAAAGAGTGGATTCATGGTGTCAGACAGCAGTGAAATGGGTTTTCACACTCTTAGCTTGCTGTGTTGGTAAAATCAGTTCTAATTGGCTAACTGAGCAGTTAACTGCTTACAAATTAACTTCCTGGGTTGGTTGCAAATACAGATGCACTGATTTCAGATTTAACAGATGATACTGACTTTTTCTGATCGTAATTGATTTTCTAAGATTATAACTGTTTATAAATTCACTTGTTTCCACATTTTTCCTTGTGCATTCTTTGATTGTTTGCTAATACTGAGCTTGCTAGCTTGTGGCTAGCTCTGCGCTCTTGCTAGCTTTAGCGTTATCCGCTTTTCCTTTATTAGTGTCTTTAAAATGTTCAGCTTGGTAAATGTTGTTTAAGTTTCTCCTTAGGTTTGTTGCTACATACTTTTTCATGGTGGTCTCCTCGTGGTTTACTTTTAAAAACACTTGTCCTCACTCGCAGCGAAGGGCTGCTAACGTGTGGCAGTGAGTCTGGGTGCGGGTATTAGCCTGCCCCGCTGTGCATGTGCGTAAAACAGACTGGTACATAATTATATATTGTATGTGAGGTTGACAGCTGGTCACCGGTCAGGCCTGAGCACTGGAAATTATCCAATTCATGTCCTTGGCTAGTCAGTCAGTGAATCTCTTAACACGTCCTCATCAGTTGGTGATCCATCTGTAAGACACAGAAATGTTTGTGCTGCAATGTAGTTACACAAACCTACTCATTTTGTAACAATCTATGATTCACAGTTAACCTGTTCATATACATACCATACCATCACGTACCACACACGTGCCGTCATGGGTTTAGACTCAAATTGGGGCTGTAAATTTTAAAATTAACATCATGTCATATTGAAAAAGAAACTAGCGACTGAGACACTTATCAGGAATTGATACTGAAGTTATGGATCAAGTGAGCAGATCTTTTTGCAGCCAGAGAAGGAACCCCCCCTTCTGGCTATTAGGAAAATTGCAAATTCAAAGCATTTCGGCATTAGCCTCTCAGACTGTAGCGGCATCTTTTACAACAATGAACCTTGAAGAGCAGCCTGTTAACTGTCCTTATTGTCAGAATTAGTTGGAGTATATGAACATGCTGCTTAACACACACTTCTTCTTCAGGCTATTTTCTTTTATTAAAAAATAAAAAATATTCATCAGAAGTTTAAAAAAAAAATCTAACTGTTATTTATGCAAGGAAGCTTGACAGGTCCTTTCTAACATGCTTAAATGTTCTGGGAAGTTGTGTATTGATCTCTTAATTCGTTTATCAAGTGATTAGTATTTGTATTCTAATAGAATAATTTGTTTTGCTTCTGGAAAACGAATATTTGGTAGATGTACAACAGTATAGCAATACATTAGTATCGTTACATCAGCATGATGTATAAATAAGATGTCATTTACCATTGTTAGCAGCCAATACTTTACTAGTACTGTATGTCACACCAAATGTTGAGAAACTAAGAAACAAATTTCAACCAAAACCTGGGAAAACAAAATCAGTATTGGCACTGAGCAGATTTTAATTTTAAATACTGGTATCCAGAATTTCACAAGTGTGCATCCTTAATATTTGCTGCTGTTCTGTTCTGTGGACTTTCAGTTGTTGATCAGCAAACTGAAAAAAGAGAAAAGAATAATGGATGCCTCCTTCAGAAAGAAAGTGAAAAACAAAACTACGGCTCTTACATAATCGAACAAAGCAAACCCTTTTAAACCCTTTGTTTATTCTGCAAATCCAGCTGAAACCAGTTCCACTGCTGACATTTGTTTCCTCAAATCATGCAACATACTGATTCATACCATAGAAGGTCTTTATATAAAGACAACATAAAAAAGATGCTCTGTCCGAGAGACCTCGGTGCTATTACACTACCCACTTTAGTATTTTCCATTAATTTTCATAGCTCCACTCATCTGCATGATAAGAGCTGATGGTCCAGTAAGTAGTCACAGGAAGTAGTCTGGCCTCCAGCTCCTTTTCAAACATGCACCTGGACCACTTTTGAATCTCCCCACAGTGTTTGAAATGTTTCAAAGATAATAGACGTTCCAGTCTCATTATGGTGTTGTTCGCTGATGTGTTTGGCCTTGTGTTCGATGTCATTTAAATCCCTCGCCTGTTTCTGTTGTTGGGAGCCTCTGCGAGTAGAGTTTGTGTAGGAGTAGCTAGGTACACTCAGAGGTAGAGCCCTTCAAATGGAAACGGCAAAACATTAACCGCAGTATGACTCAAGCTACCGCACTGAAATTTGTTCAAAACATCCTGAACTAGCGGTCTGATTTTTTTTCTTTCTGTTTTTTGTGGACTAATTGCACCACGCAGTCTAAACTAACAAGTGATGGTTCATGTTCTCGTACTTTCCTGTGACATTTACACAAAGGGCGACAGAGATATCCAGTATCCTTCTTGTCGCTGGCCCCCTCTCCTCCCAGGCCTTCTGGTGTTTACAGAACTGAGTGGCTACTTTGACCGACCACAGGGACAGCAGATGTCATTTTAAGGGGCAGCCGTGCCACCGATCACCATGTTTGCTCACAGCCCCGTATGATTATAGGAAAAACACATTTTTATTTATTTTATTTTTTTCTTGTAAACTGTAACTTTGTGTTTAACAAATCCTTCAGGTTCTGCTGAGCACACTGGCAACAAAGAAACATATTTAAACTAAACTCTATTAGCTCAAGCACCAGTTTGGAAATTGGTTTAATTAAAGTCATATCTGAGCAGTGCCCGTCTTCCTCCGTCTCAAAAAGACCTGCGGGAACTGTTTTTACTGTATTCATAGAGTCTCTGAGTCAAAGGCAAATCACTGTAAAATGGACTGTGTGCTAAAAGCACTTTGAGTGAATCTCATTATCTTTTTTTTCCAACCCATCTGCCACATGCACCATTTTTCACAGAGCTGCTCGTCGCGTTCAGAAGTGCTGGGTGATGTCACAATGTGACAGAGAATAGAGAGAACATTCGATATGCACATGGTTCTTTAGTCCATTGATGAGTATCACAGTACTAAGTGAAAGCTAATGAGACATCCCCTAAGGAGTCAGTTAATATGTAGTTCTGGAATGTATTGTCTCTGTGAATTATTCTGAGTGAAAAGCAGACCTTCAGAAAAGACTTGACATACCCTTTGTTAACATCTTTATGAAGTAAGGCCTAGCCTGCACTTTTTGGATGAATCTATACCGTCTCCCTGGGAAGATTATCTCAGAATGATATCTGAAAAGTGGCACTGCTTCTCATTAAGCCATGTGGCATGTAAAAGACAGAGCTATCCATATTCTCTGATATGCAAATGTACCCTCAGCTACTCTTGCAGGAGTAAATGAGGAGGAGGCGGGGGGTCACCTATGGAGTCTCTAGTTCCCTTTGGATTTCTCTTTTCTTTCTTATGTTATCAGCAGCGCGTAATCTCAGTCCTTTTCAAAGTCACCCCGTCATTATACAGTATTGGTTTTGCTGCTCGCTAAATTAGCATTTAAATTGAAAAGTGAAGCCACACCGGTGGGCTTTGGGCTGCGAGCTTGTTTTGCGTTTCCTGCCGTGGCGTGGTACTCGGTGCAGCAGTTTGTTCGCTGATATTAATCACTCGGTTCCCACAGGGCATGGTGACCAGTATTAAGAGGGTTCACTTAGAACTGGATTAATGAATAGCTTCCTGCTCGGAGGAGCTCAGCAGGTGCAGGAAAATAGGCTTAGCCTGAATGCGGAGTGACGTGGCTAGCAGTGGGACAACGGCAGTTCCTACTGACATCTGTAGAGCAACCGCAGGTGCTTGCTGTCACTCCTGGGTGCAGCGCTGGTTTGATCAATACTTAATTTGTCGCCATAATAATGCATAACACTTTGTACTGTTTGCTGAAAGGTAGGATAAGACGACAGAGAGGCAATGATCCAAAGCCAAAATGTTGAAGTATAGTTAGAGATGTGACTGTGTCTGTTTCATTTATGAAAAATGGCATTTTGCATTTACAAGTATTCAGATTCATCACAGGTCCACATGATGGTGAAGAGAAAAGCATGACTTGCCACAAAAAACAGTGCCATGCCATTTTTTGGCAATAGA